CCCCTATACGTATGTAGAAATATTTACTCATCAATATGCCCTCCACTGATTCCTACAACCGCATTCCCCTAGTAAAAATGTTTATCGATGCGCCATTTGTAAATTTACACGAGACCAATTTATATTCATCTAAATAGCTTCGCATACGCCTAAACAAGTAATAATCAGAAGAGGCAAGATAGGGAGAATATGGACGATGAAGATATTTTCCCAGTCGAACTCCTAGGAAAAATCTTTAGTTAATCGTGCAGTGTTAGGGCTGACATTATCGTTATCGAAGATTACTCCCTTTCTGTTGTCTGTGGATTGACGTTATCTACCCAAAGCTGCTTTCAAATGACGAAAGTGTTGGCAGCAGAGATCAGCGTTCATTGTTTGGTTATTGTCTAAGCAATTTATAATGGATAATTCTTCGAATATCCAATCATATATTTGACACGAACTCTGGATGAAGTTCTACTCTCGGCTGCTATGTAGGTTAATTTTATCGACTGATCAACTGATGACAGCGCCTAACATTATGGCAAGGGATCCAACTCCCATCAATAGTAAGAAGCCTGTCCCAAACGTTGTCGTGCATGCAATAGTTCGCTATAAATCGACACGTTGTTGGTGATTCTATACAGACATGTCGTGCGGAACTCATATTTCAACTACTAAAACCAATCTAAACTCATTTAAATTGGGTAGGATTAACAGTAGTAACTGGAGTTGTTTTAACAACAGCTTCAATGACCCTGAATCGAATCCTTTTTGACGCCCCACCTTTGGTTCATCCTTTTAGACTAAAACTCAAGCTTGAAATGTGAAAACTACAATTTTTAACTCAGTGTGTCCACCGCGTGAGTGAGTTAGATGGATTTTACTGTTCCACTTGCGTTGATACATTATTGAAACTAACAGAACACAAGATTTCTAATGCATTCTTTTGGTTGGACGCACATAATTATGCATAATATTTCTATGATTTGAAAGAAAAATATATAAATTACTCATAGTAGCATTACTAAGGATCGTAAAGAAGCAATACTTTAATAGATTCTATTCACCATTTCCGCCTAAAGAATCTGACAGAACTTATAAGGGTGTTTCATTAAGACGGATCAAAGTCAGAAGTAAATAAATCAGTGTTATTGGTGAAAATTTATTTATTTCTCTATTGGATCATGTTATTTAAGTCATGGCAATTATGTGTGAACAATAATATCGCCCAAATATCTGCCAAATCTGAAAGAAAAAGAAAAAAAATTCATCAGACGCTTATTATTGATTATTGGAACACCATTTATATAGTTATTGCATCACTCTCCTCTTTGCTTCTCTGTTATTTCCTGCACGAGAAAAAGACTAGAATTTGGAGACAGTCATAAATATTCGTTGACAAAGTACTGACTTTTGAAAGAAGACGGGACATTTGACTGGCAAAGAATAAATTAATTACTTAAAGGATCGGTATATTTTGCTCATAATATAAATGCATTGCTAATTGCTTTACGTTATATTTATTGTAGAAGTCAGACAGTAAAACTAAGATAATTTGTCCCCAGTAATGAAATCAAACTTTGATGACAAAATATGACTATAATATACACAGACTCCGCCAAAAATGTATACACTCTTCAATATGGCGGGGAAATTCTTTTCTACTTTTATAAATTAGCGATGACAATGATATGATAATTTTTTCTTTGAAAAAAAAAAGACGGCGCACCACCACACAACCAGTAAAAACTTGGAGCTTATCTAAATGAGAATTTCTAAAGACATTGACAAGGATGAATTGGTACAGTCGAGTTCTCCCCACGTTCTCCTGCAGAATTTTACCTATAGGGACGCTAGATGATGTTGTGCATCCCGGAAAACCGACTCTATTGTAAGCCCTGAGACTGAAAATGCATGTGCAGCTATGGCACAGGACACTTTGGGGAACATTGCTTAACCAGTATTAATACATGTCTAGAAGCTAAAAGCCACCATTTTGAGCATCTCTTGCGATTGTACAGTTCAAAGGTAACTCGTATTAATCCCGTGAGTTTTGAATAAATTTACTATTACAATATCTATACAAGACTTATTCCTTTCCTGAAGTGTGTATTTTGGCGGACATATATATATATATATATATATATATATATATATATATATATGTATATATATGTGTGTGTGTGTGTGTGTGGGTGTTTGCGTGTGTATCTGCGTATGTGTGTTAAAATTCAGATATAGATAAAACTATATCTGCAAAGGTAATATAAATAAAATGAAAGACGAGGAAAAACATTTATGGCAATGCGTTTCGTTAAAAATAGAATCAAAAGCAACAACACCAGCATGTAGTCACTTTCGTTTAACGGGTCGATCAAATATGTCCCTTCTCGTCCTCCATAGTTTAATTTTCCTTACACAGCAAATTGTTAGAATATTTTAAAGTGTTCCCCCCGTTTCAAAATTTGAAAGCCTGACGATATTCTCCATCCACAAAAAGTTTCACAGAAACAAATTGATCGAGGGGAAACACAAAAAAATTACACGAATGGAGTAAAGAAGCACAATAAATGCCAATACAGGATGCGATGGGTAAATTGTCACCATTTTATATATTTAATTTCGCGCATGCGCGTTGTTTGTTTTTAATTTTAAAGACTGCACATTATAGTAGGGTCAGTTGGACACCGTCTGTGAGAAAAAGAGCACCATGACGCAATTCACGCAGCCAAAAATTTGCAAAAGGCATCCTGTACTGCTTGGCATTACTACTGTACTGTACTCATGCGGCATTCACCCTGGGCGGATTGAGCCGGCTTCTTCCTGTTATGAGAAGAAGATTCTTGGGATAAATTACAGAAGTAGGGTACCCAGGCCTACTCGAATAACGTTCTTGCTTGCCGCGGGGTTCCCGCAGACGCAGAGACAGGAACGACCAGAAGCCGCCGGTTACCGATACAGACGCTCCTTGGAATTTCACCAGAGCCCTTGTTAGCCGGCGTGTGTGTCAGACCTGTCCGCCTTGGGTGGCCCTACCAGGAACGAAGTTCCGGGCGGCATAGCTCTGACACTACCGTTTACACCCCCCCATCGACTGTGAGGTAAGGGTTGGACTTTGGGGGCTTACAGTACCAGGTGTTCCCAAGCGGTCCCCCATCTAAGTACTGACCTGGCTCTACGCTGCTTAACTTCGGTGATCGTACGAGAACCGGTGTTTTAGCGTGATTTGACCGTAAGCTACTGCTTGGCATTCGCACCGGAAGTCCCAATACGAACATTTCAAAGTGTCTGGATGTCAATCTGAGGATAGTGAAGAGGATTTGAAAAGAGTTGGGTAATATATCCAGTCAACATAATGGTGTTTGAAATGTTCGCTAGTGATGGCGACAGGAGCTCAGATTCAAAACGGAGGCCTACATCAAGTGCCTTGAGGAGTTAGTGCTGCTCTGGATCAAGAGGGTGGCTGCTGGAAAACCGTGTGTCTGGCAAGAGGATTCTACACCATAACACACAAGTAGGAGAATCCAGTCATGTATGTCAGACAAATTTCTGTGACCACACCATCCCTTAAATCTGGCCACCTATCTCCCCAGGCTGCACTCACGTCATTATTACGTGCGTCGCGAAGTTGAACGAAAGACCAAAAAAACTCCTTGTAATATCAAAGATGAACTAAAGGCAAGGATTATGGCAACATTCACCAACGTACACAAGGAGACCGTTCAGAAGAGTTGTAGGAGATTCCGAAGTCGTCTGGATGCCGTGGTTGAAAATAAATGGTGATTTTCCTGAATAAATTTACTCTTTAGATATGAGTATTATTTTCATTTTTGCGTAATTTTGATGATAATTTATTCATAGCGCCCTTCAGATGTTTGGTTGATTGATCTTGTTTAGCTGCATATCAACCCCTATGGGTTATTTAATGCCGAAATCTATTTTTTAAGCATTCCACCCCAAGCAAAGCGGGAAGCCACTAGCACGCAAGGGGTTACAGAGAGTTGGAGCGAGAGCAAAGAGGAGTTATAGAGGAAAGGATGAAGTGAAGGATAGGGGATAGATCATGGTATCTGGAGATGTCGATTGATATTACATTTGAATAGTTGGAGATTATAGCTATCAGGGAAACAGGAAAAGGGAAGGTAGTTCCACAGGCGAGAAGTGCGAGACATGAAGCTATTGGAGTAGAAGAGAAGGCCACATTTAACAGTTTCGACAGTGAAAGGTTGAGAGCGAGATGCCAACCTAGTTGAACGCTTAAATTCATGAAGTCTGGGAATCAAAGAAAGCAGCTTATCGGTGTAAAAAAAGACAGAGGGAGGCAACGACACGTCTATGAGAAAGCGACTGCAGACGAGATGCCAGATCATGTCCAATTACATTGCATATCCGTCTTTGGATTTTATCAAAGACCTTGAGACAAACAGAAGGGGGTCCAGACCATATATGGCAGCAATACTCTATGCAAGGGAGAATGGTTGATTTGTAGATTTGAAGGATTGACACCGGCGATAAAAATTTCCTGGTGCGGCACAGGGATATTTTGAACACAATTTCTACGCATTCGACTCCAAATGAAATGTATTGGCCATATTACTATGAAGAAGTAGTGTCGGTAATTTCTTTGATAGAACAATGTTTTGTTGGAATTTTTATACTTTTATAATGTTATGCTTTTCTTCGGGTGTTTAGTATTTGTCTATAGCTGGGACCGTAAGAGAACCTGGTTAAAATAGCAATTAAGTGGTACAAATAGAAAGAGGAAGATGTTGAAAATATTGGTAGTAGAACAAATACCTGGGAGAACAAGCACCATACATAGAAAAAGGAACTATTAATCAAAGAAACAAAAAAAAGTAATTTGAGAGATAGAATGATCATATACGAAAGAGAGAGAGAGAGAGAGAGAGAGAGAGAGAGAGAGAAAGAAAGAAAGAAAGAAAGAAAGAAAAAAGAGATAACGACTAAAACATTGCTAATGACAGTGTGTTATTGAGATATTAGTAAAATTTTATTTCATGACATTGGTATATTTCTCTCTCTCTCTCACTCTCTCTCTCTCTCTCTCTCTCTCTCTGTCCTACTCTGTCTTTCTTTCTACTTTTGTGTCATAACCTGAGATTTACTCCCCCACCCACATTGAGCCAGGTTGTGACAAAAGGTCGGTCTTTAACGTGGGCAACCGAGTGTTTCCACTCAGGCCGCTGGTCTAGGCTTGTCTTAGATTGTCTAAGCTGGTCTTCGCTGGTCATAGCTTATCTAAGCTGATCAATGCTTGTCGAAGCTAATCATAGCCGGTCATACCACCGCTACGTAACAGATGTTACGCAATTGTGGGGAGAACGCAAGGGAGGAGAGGACGCCTCCGGCACGGAACAGATACGACAGCCGCAGCATACACTCCGACAGAGAAAAAAAAACCCTTCTCCTCCTTTGCCAATCCCTCCGACAGAGTCCGGAAGGAAAAGCCCGCTTCTGTGTCATAACCCTTCAAGATATCGACACATTTTTAGTCAGTACTAGATTCAACCACAGAGATTAGTCTGTATTTTAGTTCGTCATCGTTCTTTGTTTCAAAAGCAGTTAACAATCCTAAAACAGCTTCGGTAAGCTCCATTTGATTAGTGTCACTGTGGAGTAATTGATAGCGGCTGGGATTCACTGATCAATTGATGGTTCGTCTCTTACGGCTTTTCAATTCTGCGCAGGTTATTTAAAGCCAGAAAATATTTTTAGATTGTAAGATTTTTTTGGAAATAATACAAGTCTTATTAATTAGCCCGTAGTTGGGGAGAGATGAGTTGGATTCATATCTTTACCAATCATAATTGCGTTTAAGTGAGTATAAAGATGTCAAAGGGAATTTGAACTCGGCTCTCCGATTAACAACTCTGAGCCATTGTCCATTGAATCACCCGCACATCCAAGCTTACAGGACCTAGTATTCTCAAGCTGTCACCCATCTATATACTAAGTTCGACGTTGCTTAACTTTGGTGATTTTGATCATGTTTCAACGTGATGTAGCCCTAAGCCTGACTCGGATCATGAAATCGGAGAGCCGAGTTCGAATTTCAGTCAAGTTCATTACATTCACTTATGTGCTAATACCCTTGGGAAAGGTGTGATTTAATCCCCCAACAGCTATAGGTAAATAGCAGGACAGACTGTGTTCTATAGCCGGTCTAGAAGATCAAGAGACTGCAGAGTAGATCTTTGCTGTCAAACCTTTCTGAAATCCCAGTGAAAGGATCATTAGGAAGAAGAATTAAAGTCTGTTTCTTTGCTCCCTCTTCCTCGCTCCCGAAGATTAAGCAATTGAGGATTTGATGGTGATGATAATGATTTCTTGTCTTGAACGAAAGTTGCCTGCAGATTAATACGTCAACCGAAATTGCTATTTGCCGTAAGTTTATAATCACACCCTGGGATGACAACACGCATTCTGTCTTACACTTAATGGCTAATGCTTTTATCAGTTTCTTGAAAATATTGCATTTTCTTCTGCTAATACTCAACTTAACAGAACTTGACATATTTGCATGACGTGCATATCTGATATTTTAATTATTTGCTCTTTTATACCCTGCTTCAGAAATAGGATTAAATACGTTCTTTCCTTAGAATTATTCATCTTGTGTACAAGCCTAGCCATCTGCCTCTTTAATTGTTCTTGTAAATGCATTCTCGGCGGTTCATATCTTGCAATTAGCGCCTACGCAGTTCCCTTCAATTATTTCTTTCCTGTCATTTAACTCAGGCCATTATTTCATCTAAAATTGTTTATTCAATACATGTTTTCTTGAACTAACAAAATGAGACATGCAATGAATGAAAACTTCTCTCAAGTCCAGAACAGAAGGACCTGCCCGATTACCGTATATACAAGCGTATTATGCGACCTAATTTTGAAGCTAATTTTAGGGTGATCGCATCATACACGAGATATAAAATTACTGTATGTACTGCTAAGCCTTTGAACAAATTATATATCCATTTACTGTAGTCAAATTAGCTTCAAAATTAGGTCTTCAAAGGTTGCATGATACGCATGCATATCAGTCAGTTATGTCCCATGCGTGATACACGCGTAGACAATCATGTATCTTTCGATACATGACTGACGACGCAGATTTTTCACGCAGTAGGTTGCCATTTCTTTCTGCGGGAGACCAGTTGCCATCTAAGGCAACTGTCTGGGGGAAAGGAAGAGGATTAATATCTTTCAGAAGGGTATTAGCACGTAAGTGAATGTAATGGATTCGACTGGAATTCGAACTCGGCTCTCCGATTCCTCAATCAGATCCGCTTATCCATTACTCCACCATGTATATACTCTATTTATATTTAGGCTTTTTTTCAACGCTAACAACTCTTATTCGAGACAGTCCACCATATTTTCTTTTTATTTTACAGTTTTGCTTATTCCATTGTGTTTATTACAACCTGTCTGTTTATTTTAATAGCTTCTTTTTTATGACTCCTAAAAACAAATTAATATTGAAGGAATTTACCAGCT